AGAGGCTATACAGATCACAGGTAGTGATTACAAAATAATCTTTACATTGATCAATATACTATACATACACAAAAGAAGCAAAAACAAAACAAAAAGAACAATCTACAACTATGATATGATAAATACAGAAATATGGGAACAATTTGCAAACACAATCGAAGCAAAACTTGCACAATCGAAAACAGATCCACTAAGCCTTAGTATAAAAAACCTCAACAAAACATGGCATATACTGGCAAACTGCATTAAACAAAGCGCAAACAAATATATCCCACATATACACAAAGCAACACAAAATAATAACCATCTATTCTCACCTACAGCCACCAAATTACACAAAGCACTGATATATATAAACAAGGCACAAAGACATATAAGCATATATAAACAAGCAACAAATATAGACCGAATACACAACTTTATACAACAAACCAACAACCTATCCAACATACAAATACAAATACAACCTAACACAACAATGGAAAAAATAGATACAATACTTAAGACAGCCCAACAACAAATCAAAACAGCAAGGAATATAGAAAACCAAACAGCAAAAAACCTACATATAAAGAACTGTATCAAACGCAGATATCAAAACTTCTAAAACAATACATCTAAAATGATAAAAAGTGTACTTAAAAAATATACAGATCCGTAATATTACACAACATCTGAACATCTAATAATATAATCACAGAACTTCAGGAGATCAAAAACGCAATACAGGAACATTTTAAAAACTGGACAAAACTAAACCTAACTCGAACAGAACTATAAAAAGAATGGGCAGATGAATACAAACCAATTTAAACAATAGATCCAACATGGTATGATACAATCATGACAAAGATTACACCCTCTGAACTAGAGACTATAATCAAAGAAGCACCCAACACAAAGGCCACCAGACCCTCAAAAATATCAAACGAAATGTTAAAACACCTAGGCCTCCAAGCAAAAGCCACAATTCTAGATCTATTAAATAATTGTTTAACATTATATAACGTACTGTTATATTAGTAGATTTTATTAGCATATTTTAGAAGATTTTATTAGTATATTTTATTAGTATAATTTATATTTATTATATGTTTATTTTTAGCTTTAGTTTAATAGTCAAATTTTCGACAAATAGTAGTAATTTTAGTATAATATTAGGTATGTTAACTGGTACGTTAACAGGTACATTAATAGGTATGTTAATAGGTATGTTAATTGGTCATTAACTAGATTGTTAAAAGGGTCGTTAACTGGGTTGTTAAAAGAGTTTTAACAGAGTTGTTAAAAGGGTCGTCAACTGGGTCATTAACTGAGTTGTTAACTAGGTCGTTAATTAGGTCGTTAACTAGGTCGTTAACTAGGTCGTTAACTGGGTCATTTACTAATAGTTCAAAAGATATAAAAACCCTGCCTTTTTCCCCAAAGCAAAGCAGACTGTCTCCTCCTTACTTTTATTTCCTTGTTAATTACAACTTATTTTCTTGGAAGTGTAGCCATCGCCTATCTTCTTTTTATTGTATTTAATAAAGCTTTTATTGTGTTTTTATTGTGTATTTAAAGTTGAGCTATCACCTCTTCTTTCTTCTTTGAGTATTTATTTTTGGTATATTAAGTTGAGCCATCACCTCTTCTTACTCCTCTTAAGTATTCTATTGTGTTTTAGAATTATAACCATTGCCATTTTTCTTTATTTTTAGTTTATTGTCTTACTTTAAAGTTTCTTTTGTGTATGTATAGTATATTGATCAATGTAAAGATTATTTTGTAATCACTACCTGTGATCTGTATAGCCTCT